ACTTAGGGCCAGTTGCCCGCCCCCACCCCGTACCACACACTGGCTGGAGGAATGGAGCCCCACAAGGGCACTGAGCAGAGGGAAACCAATTCTGAATTCAGACCAGAAGTGGGGTCATGGACCACGCTGGTCACCTCCATGTCCCAGTTCAGAAACCACATCCCAGAGTGGCAAAACGTGGAGGAAGCCGGGCGTGGTGACACATGGAATCCTAGAACTCGGGAAGTTGAAGCAGGAAGCTCATCGTGAGTTTTGAGGCCACCCTGGGCTACATAGTGAGATCAAGGCCAGCCTGAATTACACAGTGAGGCCCTGTCTCAAAAAAAAAAAAACAACTAGGAGGAGATAAATATTTATCAGGTTGTTATGGTTTATATCTAGATGCCCTCCCTCATAGGTAGGGCTTTGGGAAATTGCACCATAGGTCAATTGCACCACGGGTCAACGGATTGGCCCGTTGATGAGTTGATAGCTAAATGTGATGCCGGGAGGTGGAGCCTGGTCTGAGGAGGTGGGGTCTTGTGGAATGACCTGGAAGGGTGCAACCCATCCCCGGTTCCTCCCTTGATGCTCTCAGCATCCCAGCTGCCGTGCCTGAGCAGCTCTTCTCTGTTATGCCTTCCTGCTGTGAGCCAACTGTTATGGTTTGTCTGGGTGTCCTCCCAAAGTCTCCTGCAGCCATGGGGCAGGCTTTTAGAGTTTGATTGATTATGGGTGTGAGAGCTACACTGCCTTGGGGTGGACAGTTTGCATATGTAAGGGAGAGGAAGAGGCTGCTTGCTGCCATTCCTCCCTTTTGTGCTTGTTGCTTTTGCTATGTTCTGCCGCCATGAGCTGTAGCCCTCTGCCATGTGCCACTCTGCCTTGTAACCTGCCAAGTATGGACTGAAACCTCCACAAACTGTAAGCGAAATAAATATGTCCTTTCTTCATTTTGGGCATCAGGTATTTTGTCCCAGCAACAAGAGAAAAGTAACCAAGACACCAACCAACCATGGACCGTAAACACGAGCCAAAATAAACCTTTCCTCCTTTACTTTGAGGGTGCTGAGTACCGTGTCTCAGCAACAAGGAAGTGACTAAGGCACAGATGACTAAGAAGAAAGTATGTGGGCTGGGGATGTAGTCTCAGGAGTTGCACAGGTAGGCATTTACCATCACAGAGAACAGCGAGCGTTTTTCAGCTCTAGAATTTCCATGTCTCAGCTGAAAGTCCTCCTCTGTTCACCGGTGCATTGGGTCCATCTTTTCCTCTAAATTATTTGATGTATTTATCATTTCAAAGGCCATGGCTTCCAATTCAAACATCTGGGTCATCTGTTGTTCAAGGGACTGTTCTTTTCTAGCAATATAGGTCACAGTTCCCTGCCTCTATGGGAGATATAGATGATAGATATAGATATGATTTTATATTTTAAGCTGGCTGTTGTACATTAAAGAACTAAAAAGACTAGAGGAGACTAAAAACTATCTCCATCTCCCAGAAAGGGTACACCTTTTCCTCTCTCAGGCAGCCATACAGAGGGGCCCATCTCTTCTCTGAATTAGGTTTAAATAGTTTCAGGCCCCTCTAGTCAAATATCTTAAAGGGGAAGATGTGTATCCCATACCTCCAGCTGGGCTTTGGAATTCAAATAGGGCAAAAGCAGACTTACTTGCTTTCCAGGCCTGTCCCAATTCCAGGGAAATGACTGTATTTCAGCTCCTTTCCTCTACTTTCCTATATTTTAGAAGATAACGGACTCCTCCGTATGTAAATACATAGATCACAAGTGAGAGAAAAGTACACAAACACGTGCAGCCCGCAGCACTGACCGCAGTTCTCCCAAGGCCTCAGGAGCCACCCATCAACCCACTTCATTTCCACAAAGAGCCTCCTGTTCATCTGACACCCCCGCCCAAGGAAAACCCAAACCAAGCTTCTCTCTGCGGGTTCAGCTTACAGAGTGAAGGTTCAGGAAACTGAAAAAACCTACGATAGTTGTGTTTGGGAAACTGGGGTCAAAGTAGCCTTGAAGTGTGACTTCTGGAGCTTGAAGACTGGGGAGCTGGATTTCAGAAAATGACTCTGGGGCCGTTCATGTTATGGCCCCCACTGTTCAGAATTCCACATGGTTAAACAGACTTTTGTAAGTTACCAGGGTAGCCTCTTGCCCAGAAAGAATGCATATGAGGTCCTCCTGTAAGCATCAGTCCTGTGATTCCTGTAGCCAAAGTACCGTTACTCTGTAGAAAGGGTTGGCCTGGTAGAAATGTCCAACGCTGAGCTGAGGGTGTTGCTCAGTGGTAGAGTACTTACTTGCCTACCCCATGTGAGGCCCCAGAAGTCGAGGGAGTCCATTGTTAGCCCAGGTGTTTTTCTCTATTAAACCTGAGCATGCTTGATCACCAGCATCACTGCATCCTGGTTCGCCCCTGCCCACTGTCCCCCTTGTCAATACTCTAGACTGGGACCAGGATCCACACCTTGCACCTCTGAGACTCATCTCCATCTCGGTGAGGACATCCATAATGATGGCTACCATCTCCAAAGCACGGTCCCTGCCAGCCAGGTCTAACATGCACCTCACCATGTACACCAAGCCCTCTACAAAACAGGTACGGGAGCATCCCTAATTCAGAATCTCAAATGTTCTGAGACCTGAAGGGTTTTATGGGGGTTTTGGATTTCAGAGCATTTCAGACTGTGAATTTTCAGATTAGGGATGTCTGACCACTAAAATCTGTGCATCTCCAAATCCAAAAATCTCCAAAATCTAAAATACATCTGGTCCCAAACACTTCTGATAAAGGATACCCAACCTGCACTATTAACAACCTGTGTTATAGACAAGGCCTTCTTGTGTGAAAATGCACACTTTACCCCTCTTGAACACAGCACGTATAATCAATTAAACTATGCATATATATGCACACATACTTATGTAGATGTATATATTTATGTACTTACATATATATGTACATATATAAAAAGTAACAGAGCAGACTTTTTTAACTTGGATTCCAACTTTCACTGAAAACAAAGCCCTCCACATTGTTATCGCAGGCTTGGTGGTACCTTTCTTAAAGTAATAGGAAATGCTACTAGAAATGTTTTCTTTAATCCAAAAGTGGAGGAAAGAGGCTTCAGAAAAAAAAATTCCTGCTGTATTGTTGGGGAATATTAGATAAATAGATGCAGTATTTATGTACACTGGGTGACCTGATTTTAAGATATGCATTAACCTAATAGCTGACGCTTAATCTTTTTGAATTAATACATAAAATGTTTCTTGAGTAGGCAACATAACTGCCTCAGTGTCTTAAAGCAACTGCTGCAATATCTTAAAGCAGCAGTCAAGAGAAACCTGTGCAAATACAGCAAAATGCAGTCCCAGCTACTTGGAAGGCTGTGTGACAGCAGGATTCCTTGAGCCCAGGAATTAGAGACCAGCTTTAGCAACACAGTGAGACCCACATACACACTAATTTCATAAAAAGAAAGCTTAGCATTTATGGATTTATAAAAGACAAAAGTTAAAGCCTTGTTTATCCCAAATGCAATTCAGAAAATAGAAAAGAATTTCTTGCTACAAAAACTTTCAGTGCATTTGTATAAATCTTTCTATTTGTTTTTCTTTATATATTTGGTTTCATTAATATTTTGTAACCATTTTAAACATTGCACAATTTAGGCTGAGCTTGGTGGCACACGCCTGTAATCCCAGCACTCAGGAGGCTGAGATAGGAGAATCACCATGTGTTTGAGGCCACTCTGGGCGACATAAGCAAGTTCAAGACCAGCCTGTACTACATAGCAAGACTCTGTCTCAAAAAAAAAAAAAAAAAAGTTGCACAATTTAATGCTTCATGATATTCCACTGGAAATGGAATGTAAATACGCCACACCTGAAAATGCCTTTTAAAAATACAGATTTGAGGGACCCACCTACTAAATAAGAATAAAGGACAAGGAGTCCTTTATTTTTAAGCTTGAATTTTGCAAGCTTACTCTGTGATTGATCATAACGCATTTAATTAATCTACCTAAGAAACTAGTACATTTGCTTAGTCTGCCACTGTCAAATACTGAACTATTTCCAAAGTTTTGCTATTCTACAGTCACAAATATCCTTAAGAGTATCTCTCTCCATACAAACGCAATTATCTTCTGAGGCTAATAAAATGGTTTTGCTTTTTTAAAATACTATAGTCAGGAGGAAACTATGGAGTAACTGCAGCTCTGTTAGTACAGCCCACCACAATCTGGGAACTGTAGAGAAAACCAGCAGACATTCAGAGCTGCCCTAGATATTCAAGAAGGGTCAATATAAAGTTAAAGTCCTAATAAAAACTCAGAACAGACATCTGCCTTTCCCACGGCTCCATAATCACAAAGTCGGGCTGGGGATTTAGTTCAGCGGCACAGCGCCTGCCTGGCAAGCACAAGGTCATGAGTTCAATTCCCAGTACTGGGGAAAAAAAAAACAACATAATAACAAAGTCCCCCTTGAGTTTCTATCTCCAAATTGCCTCCTTCGTCTTCTGCTGTTTGGTGCTATTGTAAAGTTTGCATTTGTCAAGGTTGTCACACAGTGGTAGAACACGTGCTTCACATGGGTGAGGTCCTGGGTTTGATCCTCAAAACAACCAAAAAATGGAGGGATTCTCACTTGTCATCTATCATACAACATGGTGACTATAGTTAATAACTATATTTTTAATATTTAAAATATTACAGTATTATATTTATAATAGTATATATTTAAATAGTATATATTGAAAATATTATATTTAAAATATATATTTATTTTTTAAATAAAAATTAAAATATTTAATATTTAAAATATTATATTTAAACCATTAATATAGTTAATAGCTACATTTTTAATATTTAAAAATCATTGGTTTTAAATGTTCTCGTCACAAAAAAGATGGTTAAGTACAGAAGGTAATTTGTGTCAGTGAGCTTGACATAGCCATTGTACAATATGCACATATTTCAAAACACATACACCATAAATATTTACAATTTTTATTCAACAATTAGAAATAATAAAAATAAAGCTCATATTTGGTAGCTGACATGGTATCAGTCCCCAAGAGCACTTCCTTGCACTCAGTCTTGTAGATCCTTAACTACCCACAGGTATCTGCGGAGCAACACTTTGGTTTAACTGCTGTGTCTTCATACTGATATCACGTAACCTACATAGAAAGTAAATGCATTCAAACTCACTGAATTTCAGAGCTTGCACTCTTAGGCTTAAGATCAAAATGCCAAAAGGTCAACAAAGAATCCTTAAGCCAATGTTTCTCAAACTAGCATCAGTGGGCATACTTCCAGGGTTCGCTGAGAATTTTTCCTCCCTGTAAAAGATGTTTACATGGTACTCAAAGTTGAGAACCAGTGACTTATGAATGCAGGGACCATGCTGCTTTTCTCTCCCACCCAAGCCCCCAGCCTAGTCTCGGCACTCAGCAGAAACTAAGCGACACATTCTGCACCCAGACGCTGGGTCTGAGCCAGGCCTTCCTGGCACACTTGGACATCGCCACAACGAAGAGAATCCCTTCTTTGCCTTCTATCGTACTGACAGAAACTGATATTCTGAGCCTTAAGAATGCTTCCTAAGACCAACAAGGCCGACCTCACTCTATTTACAGATAGCAAACGGGCAGGACCCAGGGACAGGAGATGCCCTAAGTAAGGTCACAGAACCGGAGCGTAGCAGAAACAAAACTGTCCTAACAGCTATCCTAACTTCACCGCCAGGAAGCTGCCTCTGCCGACCTTCAAGGACTACGACTAGAGAACCCACAGACCTCATTACCCCCGCAGCCACCACCCACTTCTGTCCCATTTCCGCCCTCCCTGGTCCCCACCTCCCTGTGTACCTTTCCAAGTCTGCTCGCCTCGCTATACCCAAGGTCTTCACCAGTGTACTATTTCACATACCCAACCCCAGCCCTACTGCTCCGCCTACAAAGACGCAAGCTAGCCCGCCGGGTTGGCGCACGCTAGTTATCGGACAGTTCAGGCGAGAGGATCGCACAAGAATCCAGCCTGGGCGACTGAAGGAGAACCTGACTCAGTAAATAAAGAGCTGAGCTTAACCTGCACAAGGCTCTGCGTTCCAGCCAGAGCATTGGTGGAAGGGGAAAAAAAAAAAAAAACGGAAAAGATCGCATGAAACCCACCACTACAACTCCACCCGCGCCTCCTGCGCCCGCGGAGAGCGCCCCCAAGGCGCATGCGCAACCCTAGGTCGGCGCGCGCCGGTGACGTCACGCTCCGCGCCAGCTCCGAGCTCCCGAGGTTTTGCACCTCTCTGCCAGGGAGTACGAGCGCGTCTTGACTCTACATACCCCACTGTCTTGGGATGAGGAGCCTTTCTAGCGGGAAGCTTTTTTTCCTGTAACACTGAGGATTGGACCCAGGGCTTCGCAGAGCTACATCCCCAGCCCTTTCTACTTATTTTTGAGATAGGGTCCCGCTAAATCTGTATTGCCCGGGCTGGGCTTGAATTCTGACCCTCCTGGATCGCACAGTAAACTGGGGTAAGAGGCGTGCGCCTCCACGGCAGGCTCCCAAACGAAAGTTGACGAGAAAGACTCTGGTGGCGGAGAGCAGCTGAGCAAAGAAAGGCGGACAGACTGCGGGACGCGCGAAGGAAACATCATCGGGGCGCGCCGGAAGCGGACCCACCATGACGAGTAAGGGAGGGCGCGGAGTTGGAGTGGGGATGCCGAGGGTTGACCTGATGCTGATGGATAGTGAGTCAGGGCTACCAGTCGCTGCAGAGTCTTAATAGAACTGTGCGGGAATTGTTACATGTTACATGAAAGAAACACCCAGAGTGTCCGCTGACTCCGTCGCTGAGCTAGGTATTGATGGCAGGGGACTGGACAAGCTTTCCTGGGGGCTGCGCAGTGTGGTACTAGAGGATGACGGCCCAAGCCTTGGCCAGACCTGGCCACTACGTCCCTGGGTAACCTCGGTCAAGGCCCTGCCCTCCTCTGCCGCCTAGTTTTCCACCCTTTGTATAAACTTACAGGAGTTGCTGGGGAATATCACTAACCCAAGGCTTTTGAATAGGGCAGAGACGAGATGTGCCAAGCCAGGGCCAAGGGAGTGTAGACACTATGCAGACTGGGTGCGTCAGGACTTTTGATTTCTATTCCCTGCCCTGTAAGATCAAGTTAAGTGTCTCAGCATATGTAAGTGTAACTTTCTCATGTGTATAAGTAAGCCTGCCTACTGCAAAGGATTTTTTAAGAAGTGTCATGAGAAATATATGTAGCTTTCAATCAACTCCCTGACAAGAAGTGAATGTTCAATAACTGTTATATGGGTACTGTTGCACAAATACTTCCAAGTCCGATGTTAGGCATCTGTGACAGAGGAAATTATTCCTGGGGTTGCAGGCGCTGTAAATTTCTCTCAACAAACAGATTTTAACCCCCATCTTCCATGTGAGAAACAACTTAACTCTGTATATGAAACTTGTCACCACTGTAGTTTGCTTGTCAGACATGTACTCAGAATCACAAGAAAGCTGGGACAAAATTTACAGAGTGTAGTGTGAACTAAATTTTCAAATCATTTGGTTCTTAAACCAAGCCTTTGTCCCATTCTTACGCCATTCATATCCCTGTCGCATCTTCAGTGCCACTTTTCTTCAGACAAATTAACTTAAAAAGCAGGAGTGTGGATGTCTTTGAAGCTTACTACTACATTGATCGTTATATACATTTAGAGTCTGAAGAAGACCTTCTGTATTTTTTTCAGTTCAGGAACCACCAATTATATATGTTCTAATTGCAATGGATAGTAACATATGAAAAATCTTGGATTGTTTTTTCTATGATAGTGTGAGGTGAACCCCAGGCCTTTGGAATGAGCTACATCCTCAGCTTTTTTTGTTGTTTTTAGATAGAGTCTCACAGTCACTAAGTTGCCCAGGCTGGGCTTGAATTTATAATCCTTGTGCTTCAGGGGCTGGGGATTTAGCTCAGTGGCAAAAGCGCCTGCCTGGCAAGCGCGAGGTCGTGAGTTCGGTTCCCGGTACCGGAGAAAAACCAAAAAAAAAAAAAAAATCCTTGTGCTTCAGCTTCACAGAATACTGGGATTACAGGCAGACGCCACTATACCCAGCTTGAAAAACCTTTTTAAAACCTTCACAGTTAGCAAAATGTATTTCTAGCTGTCTTTATCTTAGACAGCTGTACACCTTTTTTTTCTACCTAACTTTTAAATGAGTTACTGCATTGGACTTAGTGTAATTGCTCAAGCTTCTAATTTACGGTGTTTTAAACTACAACAACTTTAAATATGATCCATTTACCAGCAATAGCATCTAGGAATTTCTTAGAAATTCAAGATCTGGGCACAGGGACCAAAGTCGTGTGGTTTAATAAGATCTCTTAAAACACATTCAAATTTGAGAAGCATTCTTTTTAAGCCACCTTTAGAACTGCCAGCATAGACATGGCCAGAGTGTGTCTGGTTACGAGGCATCCAAAAGGATTGAGTACGTAGCTCAGCGATAGAACGCTTGTTTGGCTTGCTTGAGGCCCTGGATTTGATCCCCAGCACCGCCAAAAGAAAAAGAAAAAAAAAAAACAGGCACTCAAGAAAGCATTGAAGCTTTGCTTTTTCGTACCAGCCCCATCTTCTACCTCTGAGTAAGCATACTTATTTTTGTAGTTAGAAAAGCCTTGGGTCTTATAGCCATACTCAATAGTGATTAATCATTTCTTTTCCTTTCTTTTAATCCCCTAGGTGTGATCTACCGTACTTTTTCTCAGAAGGAAGCAAAAGAGTATGATGTTCAGGTACAGTCCTCAGCAGGAAGTCTAGGAGCAACAAAGGTGCTGGCAGAGATGGTTTAGTGACTCCTAAGCCTGTAATACCGGTTTAGCTGTCCTTTACCCTGCCGTACTCCTCATTTTCCCAGTAAACCTCTTAGGCTCCATCGAGGTCTGTGTTGTACTAAGTTCCCAGATGCAGCCTGCTTTCCTGTGGTCTCAAAGTCAGGTTAGATAAACTTGGACTCCTTGATTTTGTCATCTCTCACTGTGTAGGGATACTAGGTCAAGGCCACCTGAAACCTGCTCTTACTAGCACCATCATTTGACCTTCTCACTATGCCCCCTTCCCTCCTGACCAAGGCACACAGATCACATTTCTTAAGTGGAGCTCGCAGATTATGTTCTGTCATTTGGCCATAAGCTCCACTTGTGGCTCACAATGAGAGTATTACCTTAAAGTCGAGGTTTTAAAATCAAAATACCTTTATTTTGCTTCTCTGTGAAAAAGACCCCTTAGCTATTTGAAAAAATTAAATAACTGTTCTCTTATAGTGATAATGATGAATTCATTTTTAACATCTCATGATCCTACATGAGTTAACATGAGTTAACATCATGAGTTATCATGAGTTAACATCTCATGATCCTACATTAAAACAGGCATAGTTCTGCCGTCTCTTCTGGGAGGTCCCTCAGATATTATGCATATCATATCTTTTCATTCCCTTGCTTCTCTGCCATGCAGGAGGTCTCATCACTGTGGACGCATTAACTTCAGGCTGTCAGTTGCAGTCTACCTGGTGCTCAAATGGCCCAGCCAAGAAGGGGTACATGAGAGGGCAGGGCAGCCAATGCCATATGAGGAGCAGATTGCTGGAACTCCATCTTGAGAAGTAATGACACTTGAGGTCTTTTCAAGACACACAAATAGGATCATTATTATGCCCGGAAGTCTTCTCTCAGAGCCTGTGTTTATCACAGTACCTTGGCGCTGCTGCACCGTGTTAGAGTAGCGAAGGGCCTGAGATGCACTTGATTCTTTTTCCAAGCAGTACAGAAGCAGACCTCTCAGAGAAAGGCCACACTGCCCACAGCTCTGAGAACCCAAGTAAAAGGGATTATGATAAGGGCTCTGTCAGAATCCCTCCTCCCAGGCTTGGCCCACCCTAACCACCTGGTTTACTATTTCCCTCATATTAGGATCCTTTCCCTCACAGCCATAATTTGATTCTACTCCAGGTCTGCCTTCTTGGGGTCATGACTCCTTAAATGTCTATGTTATACATTCTCAAGCTTTCTGCCAAGGATGAGGGAAGTCTTCTAAATATAAGGCTTTCAGGCCTCAGCAGAACAACCTCAGAGAGGTAAGGCAGGAAGTCAGTGATGTGGCCATTGTGAGACATGGTCATAGGCCAGCATATGGAGGTGACATTCACATGTTGGAGGCTGTAGGTGACACACACTTGACAGATGGGCGATTGTGTGAGCTGGATAGGTAGACAGATGGAACGGTGAAGACTGGCTCTCAGAAGTAGCAGGTGGGAGGGAGTGCCTGGGGTCCTGGCGGCCCAGACCAGAGCAGTAAGCACTGCATCACCCTATTACTGTGCAGCAGCTGGGAGCCCAGCGGGCGGAGGCCTTTGTGAGCGCTTTCCTGAGGCGGAGCCTGCCCCGCATGAGCCAGCAGGCCTGTGAGAACCAGTTGCAGCGCAAGGCCGTTATTTTGGAGTACTTCACTCGCCAGAAGCGGAAGGAGAAGAGAAAGAAATCCAAAGGCCTCTCTGCCAGGGAGAGGAGGGACCTGCGGCTCTTTGACATTAAACCAGAGCAACAGAGGTAAGTCCTGCCTTTCTGTGCCATAGCCCCTTACTCTTCCTGATCTGGGGTAGCCCAGTGGATTAGTAGGGAGCCTCTCCGTCCTCTGCCACAAGAGGGCAGCCTTCCTTTACCAATTCCTCTTGTGTTTGGGTTTGCTTTCAGTAGCAAGGCATGATGAGACTAAGGATTCTTATTATTTGGCGCCTATCCTAGCCTAACTAATAAGACCATGGCATAAGTGAGTCTGTTGCCCATGGCAACAGGCTATTTTTCTTTTAGTTTTCTCAGACTGAAAAAAAGAACTGATGTACATATATATGCATATATATATAGCTTTTAATATCACTAGACAGAATCACCCACTGGGGTTTTATTGCCAAGGAAAGATGCTGCCTACACATTTCGGAAGTTTCTAAAAGGAATGCAGCACGCTTGTGGGAGGACATTTTCCTCCCTTTGACTGACACTCCACCCTCGTTGGCAACAGTCTGAGTTTGCATGTTGTGGGACTGTTTATAGACTTTTCCTAGAAATCAGTAGGCAAAATAGCCTCCCACATTCCAGAAGACAAAATATGTCACTTTGTTGGTGACACCTCTCACAAAATCAGCAGGACCATGGACACAGAAAGCAGCACTTGCCTGTTGAGGGTGTCTCAGGTAGCTTATATGGGGCTTGAGCTTGGGTTCTTGTTTCTCTACGCGAGGACTTTGTGTAAATGCATTCCCCATAAGGGACCAAAATAGGTGGTAACTGTCCCAAAGGAAAACCTCTGTGGTCCTATCACCTGCTTCCTCCCCAGAGTCTGCTTGCTTACCTTCCAGACAGACCTGTTACTTAATAAAGATCAACATGCCAGCCAGCAGATCCTGCAGACAGAGGGCTTAAGTTCAGTTTCATGTAACATAAAACCTCACCATGTCAGTGGTTTAAATTCATTTCTTGCTCATGAACAAAAGTCCACGTGAACAGCAGCCTGGATTTGTGAGGAAGGCAGACCCACAGATGTCCGGGATGCACGCATCATATCACCGCTTTAAGCTATTCCTTAAGCCCTGAGCCCCAGCTGTCAAGGGCACATCTGGCTAGCAGGAAGAAACACAAGGCAGAGAAGGGCCACTCCTCCTTTTTATTAGCAGAAATATAGCTCCAAGAAGGATCCACTGTTGAAGAAACTGAGGTTACAGGGGTGAAGGTCCTAGGTTTTAGTCAGATTACTGGCAGTGGAAGTAGGATTTACACCCATTCCCATCTTTCTCAGCTTATCATTCTTGGCATCAAGACAAGCTCTGGACTCTGTGGATGTTGCAGTGCCAAGCCAGTGTTGCCTGACTTTGTACCTGTTTTTGGCTTTGTCACAGATACAGTCTTTTTCTCCCTCTTCATGAACTCTGGAAACAGTACATCCGGGACCTGTGCAATGGCCTCAAGCCAGACACGTGAGTTCTGTTTCTGAAGCTTGCCCATTGGGGTAGATCCAAGTTTTAGGATCACTGTAAATGCTGCCTTAGGAGCCAGCCATCAGCGTTGCCTGGCTACGGAAGTTTGTAGACCTGTTTGCTTCGTTCAGAACTCCCCGTCATGGTATAAATTAGGGCTTCTGTTTACCTCATAGGCAGCCACAGATGATTCAAGCCAAGCTGTTAAAGGCGGATCTTCATGGTGCTATTATTTCAGGTAATTTGGGTAAGAGCACTATCACTCAGGGGCAATATAGCACTTGTGTTACAGTATTAGACATGATGTCCCTTGCCATGTGGGTTTCTTTTTTTAAAAACAGTAGCAAAGTTTATTTGAAAAAGTAAAAGTGAAGAGCGCAGGAAAAACTGGCTCTGCAGAGCAAGCTTGGGCCGAGTAAAAGAGGAAAAAGCAAGATACAAAAAGCAGAGTACATCCTGGAGGACACAGGGCAGGCTGTCATGAGGAAAGCCGTGATACCAAGTTCTTCATAGCATCTGTGTCCTTTTATGCTGTCCGTATCTTGACAGAACTCACAAGAACTTCTACATATGGGTCCTGAGAGGCTGTGCTGAGATCCTGTGCCTCAGGCTGAAGTCAGGTGTAAGCCAGCCTATTGAAAACCTACTTAAGTTCTCATGAGAAGTCCACATACAGGGCTTTGGAAACTGTTCTGTGCATGTGTTCCAGGATCTTGTAATTAACAGGTCATGCCTACTTCCCCAGGCAGATTTGCCACGTCCTAATCTCCTGTCTTATTTCTCGCTGAGAGACATCCATTCCCCTAACCCTTTATGGGATACTGAGGGAGTGGAGATCTCTGTCTTCTATAGCTTCTTCAAGCTGAAAGGGGCCATAGATGCTGCCTACTGGGAATTATGTGCTCTCCAACCACCTTGGAGTGCTGTGGCTTCCCATGCAGGTTTCTCAAGGTCTCTCCAGATTATCAGCACTGAGGGCTAAAGATGGCCCCAGCCATTCAGCCTATTCTGCTCTCTGATGGACACACTGTAATGGTCTTTGTGAGCCTTCTGCACACAGTTTGCTGACACTTGCCCTTGGATGGGAGTCTTGAGCACAATCTCTGTCATCCAGTCCCCTGGTTTTCAGTGCCAGCTATGATTTACAGCTCTCTAACATCTCCAGTGTCAACCCATCTCCTGAGTGCCAGGCTCATTCACCTAACTGACCACGCATATGACCACCTGGAAGTCCTGTAGGCATCTCAGACTTTATATATCCAAAACAGAACTCTTGGTCTCCCTCAAAGCAGCTTCCCAGCCAGCATTTTCCATTTCTTTACATTGTTTGTCCAGACCAAAAATCTGAATGTTTCTTCTTTCCTAATCCCCACCTCTAATCTATTAGCACATCCTAGTACCCAAATCTAAAGCATCATCTTCCCTGGATTTCTTCAGAAGACACCTGACCCTTTCCTATCTGCTGTGTTTTCCCCAACCCAAACCAGACAACCAGAATAAAGGTTTTATGACAGATGAGATCATGTCCCTTCTCGCCTTTAAGCCTTCTGACAGTTTTCCATCCTATTAAAATGAAATTCTGCCTAAGGTCTAAAAGGCCTCTTCGGCACCCTTGGGCAGCAGCGTAGCCACACTGGCCACCTTTTTGCTTCTCGCACACCAGGCTTCGCCTTGCCTCAGAATCTTGGCATTTACCTTCCCTCTGCCCAGAGTTCTGTTTGTTCACACAGTGACTCGTTATTCAGGTCTCTTCTCAGATGTCACTTCCTCAGAGTTTACTGTCACTACCTGTCCACCCTCCTTACTCTGCCCTTACTTTCTTCACAGCACTCACCCACTGTCAGAAAATGTGGTTGTCCGTGGTTTGGCACACATTGCCCCTCTCCTGGTAGAACACAGCTCCATGAGAGTAGGATCCAGGACTGTCTTCATGCAGTACTGTGCCCCCAGCCCCTTCTTAGGACAATGCCAGCAGGTAGTAGACACCTAGGGAATGTCTGTTGACTTCATCAAGGGCAGGGCTCATGGCAGAGGAAGGGCTTGCTGCCTGTGACTATGGATCTTCTCACATCACTGTCTGCTGGGTACCTCTACAGCCCGATTCCCGTTCTAGCCAGAGGTCAGGAGGCTTCAGGTAACTCATGATGGACAGATGTTCAGTCAGACCTGCAGGTGACACTGGGTTCCTTCAGAGCAGCCAGTCTGTGGGCTTGGAGGTGCGTAACAGATGTGTAACCTCGTCTCCAAACCACTGCCTACAATCCCAGTAATCACAGGACGTCCAGAGCACAGCTGTAAGAACAGCCCAGATACTGCAAAGCCCCATGGCTTGGTCATTCCCCAGCTGTGGAGGAATTTCTTTCTGCTTCTGCTAGCTCAGAAGGTGGGGCCAATGTCCCCAGCCCCTAAGACTGCCTGTCTCTGGCTCTCCCATGACCACAGAGGCCTGAGCCTTCAGCTGCCTTTCTCTTTTGCAGTCACAAAGTCCAAATGCCCCTCATATGTGGGTGTAACCGGAATCCTTCTACAGGAGACAAAGCATGTTTTCAAAATTATCACCAAAGAAGATCGCCTAAAAGGTAAGTAGCCATGTCTCTGGGAGGCGTCATGGGCTGGCCTCCCCAGCTGCTGCGTTATTTCTTTTCTTGAGGCTCCAAAGTCAAGATAGATGACAGATACTCACTGTTTTGTTTTGTCTGGTTTTTGTATTTTATGTTTCGGGGGGTTTTTTTGTGTGTTTTTTTTCCCGGTACCAGGGATTGAACTCATGACCTTGTGCTTGGTGGGCAGGCGCTGTGCCACTGAGCTAAATCCCCAGGCCCTGTTTCAGATTTTTTTGAGGAGGGTTGAAATAAGGTCTTGCTGTATATTCCAGGTTTGCCTTAAACTCACTATGTAGCTCTGGTTGGCCTCATTTGCAGTAGTTCTTGCAGTAGTAGAACTTGCAGTAGTTCTCATCCTTCAGCCTCCTGAGCACTGGGATTGCCGGCATGCATCACCATGCCCAGCTTTGCAGATACTTACTGACTCTATGATCCAAGCCTGCTGAGACCAGCCCTGGCCACTGGGCTCTCCCAGGAGGCACTTGGGAACAGAGCCTGCAGCTCCAGACAGAACAGTCAGGGGGAGAACTGCTTGCCCAGGCCTCAGAGAACTGGGTCTCTTTGGGCCTCAGGATTGGGCCTTCCACCTGCCAAAGGTTGCTGCTTCCAAAAGGAGTATAACTAAACATAACAGAGAAGAAACCAAAGTAGTGCCTGACCCTGGAGTTCTGAGAACTGCGCTCCATGCTCACATCTTGGGTTCCATCACAGCTTGCATTGTTCAAGCAGACACTTTGAGTCATCTGGTCATCATCTCTGTATCCCATCTTGCACACAAATCCAGAGGCTTTTAACAGAGCTAGAGGGTTTAAGAACACCACCACCCTCCCGGGGGGATGGTGCTTGGGATCAAACCTAGGGTCTCATGCATGGCGCATGTTCTACAACTGAACTACACCCTAGTCTTCATTCTTTAATTTTGGAGCTTGGTTTGTCTTGCTGCTTTCTTCCATTTTCCTTATATTCTGCTCACGTCATAAGCCTCAGAAAGTGGTGTGAAAGTTCCCCACAGAGCATCAGGCCAAGAGCCCAACTGCAAGTTATGTGGGAGAACCTGTTTCTTTGGTACTTCTGGGAACCTCTGGTTCTGGGAGTTTGTTTCATAGCTTTTGACCCAGAAAATGAGGTGTTATATTTAGAATGTGAAACAATTGGCCTTCAGGCAGAGTAACCACAAGTAATTCTGTGCTACCATCTCTGTAGGCTCCCCATTTCCTGATAGCTTGTTTTATGAATAATATTCTACATAGAAATTAACTTAGTACCTGGATTTGTCCTCATTCTTTTTCTCCATTTTTTTCTCTAGTTATCCCCAAGTTAAATTGTGTGTTTGCTGTAGAAATCGATGACTTTATTTCCTACATCTATGGGAGCAAATTCCAGCTTCGGTCAAGTGAGAGATCTGCCAAGAAGTTCAAAGGAAAGGGAACAATTGATCTGTGATTTCTTTGCCACCTAAGACAATTGTTTATTCCACTTGAAAACTGGAAATACCCTAAGTACCCACGCTTCAGTGACAAGATTCTAGTTATACACAACTCCAGCCAATGGCAATCAAAGCCAAGGACATTGAATAACACAAGAAGATGTGACCTTCATTTTTGGAATGTTCTATGGAGAAACAAGACTGGCAGAATACACACCAGGATTAATCCTGGTTGACTTGAAGAGCAGGACTATTAGGTTATTTCTTTTTTGTACTCTTCTGAGTTTTCTGAATGTTCTAGGAAAAATCAGTCATTTGTGCACTTACAAAATGCACATGTAGACTACAAATAAAGGGACTATTCCTAGTCGCGCTGGGTTGAAAAAGGAGAGCCCCAAGAGCATGCTTTTTACTTACCCACGCTGTGAGCGGCTGCCCTGTGCAGCGGTAGAATGTATCTGTGACACACTTTCAAGCATGCCTGCCCCCGAACAGCTAAATGAGGTTCATTTGCTGTTGCAGAAAAGTCCATCACGAGGGAATGATGAAATTGCTAAGTGACTTAGCATTCATTCATTTGAGCAGTTAGAATTGTGCTGGACCACAGAGGCAGAACACCAGGCCTGCATGTGCTTAGTGGTTGTTAACCCAGTACAGGTAGACTAACCTATACACGCTCTCCCTCCTGACTGTCAGCTCTAGAGGTATGGCCACTGTGTCTCTTTCCACAGTCTGACCCCAGAATGCAAACTCCCCAGACATGGCACATTTTGATATCTTAGATCTGTTCTTCCTGCCGAGAAACCTGGCTTTTCAGCCTGACTCTAGCCCGCCTGTCTGTAAGACCACCTGACAAGGTCCTGTGTGGCGTCAGGGCATGCAGGCTGAAGCCAGGGTTGAGAACAGAGTGGGAGACCAGCCTTCCAGAGCTATTAGGAAAGCTGCATAGGTCAGAAACACAGCCAGAAGGACCAGTCACCCGTGCCTTTCAAGAGCCAGTGTATGCTGACCAACAAGGTGTCGCTCCAGGTGACAGATGGCAAATCGTGTCCCTTTTCTTGGGGCCAGGAGAAGCAGCAGTGGCAGACCTGGCTTTCTCAGTAGTTTGTCCTCAGACTCCACATTGGAAAAGCGCAGAGTGCACCCGAGCCCCACGTGGACCAGCCCAGCAGCTGGGCCCTCCATCCCCTGCTCACTGGGATGTTGCTGAGGCCACCCAGATGCTCTTCACCATTAACACCATCGTTGCCAACTGTGGTGAAGCCCACGTGGGCCAGGAGACGGCTTAAGTCCCAGCACCAACTAGAGCATTGGAAGCCCGCCTGACCGCTGCACCCTTTGGTGTGGCCGTTTTGTGATCCCACACCTAAGGCCTCACTGCCTGAGAAAGGGCCAGGATTTGAACCAGTAGTCTGGCTCCAGCACTGGGCTTTTCACTCAGAGGGGCTGCAGGGATGAGAAAGAGCCTGTGCTAAAGTACAAAAGAGACTTCCTTTCCCACCTGGTCTAAGAAAACCTGTGTCTTCAGTATACAGTATCTTCAGTTCTGAGCATCTGAAATGCGCATTTGTAGCAGCATAGGTGCTATAACTTCCTGAGCATCCCGCCCATACCCACCCTCCGCAGTGTAAAAGGCATCAAATGTTGTGTAAATACACAGTTGCTTTCCAGAAAAGTTGTTGGTACCGCTTGCCATGTGAAATCTGTTTTTCATTTGGCGCAGACTCAAGTTTCTGTGTGAGTGGCTGTGTAATTTGTAGGCTTCTCTCCCTTCCCAGAGGAGGCTTAGTGAGAACGCTCACCCACCACGAGCTGCCGCTGCGCGGGCCCCTTAGCAGAACGCTCTTTTGTCTCCACACCAACCTCTCAGGCAGAGGAGCGCCGGGCCAGCAGGGCTCCAGTCCTGATGTTGCCGTGCTAACTGCCACACAGAGCAGGGGGATAGATCAGGAGTGGCCCAGTCCCCACAGGTTGTGGGCTGAGATCACCATGGAGAGTACTGTGGTACTAGGTGGTCCGATCTGTCTTCACCAAGAAAGCAGTATTTTATTGTAGCTGAAGCCTTGGACATACAGCCACGTGTACAACATAGCTAAATCAGCCTTGTGTAAACCGTGCACCAGAGAAATGCGTGCCCCAGACACTGTGCCACAGAGGCCCATGGAGAAGGAGTGATTAACACCTCAGAATAAGACAGAAGAGGCTGCAGGGCTGGGAGATGTCAGCCCAGGGGCCCACTGCTCTCTGATCAGGCCCAAGGGCACCTTTCCAGCTGCCAGGGCCGACTGGAGGATTTAGCTGCAGCACAGAGCTCACAGGGTATAAGCCAGAGCCTCCAGGAAAGGACAGAGCACCTGGAGGGGAAGGTGAGGGCAGTGTGCGTGGACCATGGCCCTTGTAGAAGTCTGCTCAGGCCTCCGTGAGTAAACACCAGACTGGGGCTTAGACAAGTGTTACTCTTTCACAGTAGTTCTGGAAACCAGAAGTCTAAGGTGATGCCGCTGTCAGAGTTGGATACTAATGGGGCCTCTTCTGACTTCTACCACCTCTCTGGATGGTCACTGTGTGACCTCTCTGTGCAAGGACAGAGATGCCTTTGTCCCTTTTATAAGGACCCTGATTGTATCAGGTTAGGACCATACCCTATGACCCCCTTTAACCTTGATTATCTCCTTAAATCTCTACCTCCAAGTACAACTTACTCATATTGGAGGTTAGGCTCAATATATGAATTGGCAGGAGACTGGAGGGGTTGTGTACACAAATCTTTCGATTTCACCATGAAGTTTTCCGAACCGGGACACTGGTTGTACTTCCCAGGAAGATTCCAATACCACCCTGGCCCCTGTCCTCAGACACTCATTTGGACTTCACAGCCCAAAAGTTGGAGTGCTTGGACCACTAGCCAGTTCAACCAGCCCAATGCTTAGTTCCCGTTTCCACTGGATTCCGTGACTTGCTTATGTAGGAATGTAGGTCCAGGATTGCTAGGCTCTTTTATTTTTGCACACAGCTGAACTCAACCTCCCTCTCCCTCCCATTGGGGCCACTAGGCAGTCTGGCTGGAGGAGGAGATGTATATACATGTGGGTGGGACTCCTTGGGAGGAGGTGGCCCAGGATCTAGGCAACTGGCATATGCAGAGCAGTCTCCCAGGTTCAGGGCAGGAGCCTGCAGAGTCATCATGGAGGACCCAGGAAATCAGAGGAAGGTTTGTACCAGGCAGGAGAAGTGGGAAGGGGATGTGCTGCCGGTCTCAACCCCATGGAGATAGTTGGAGTTCTCACCAACTCATCAATGGAAGAAGAGGGAAGTCAGGAAATGCTACAAAAAGTTCAAACTCATGAGCCAGGATGTGGAAATCCAACGATTGATTCACCATGTCTAATGTCTTAGGACCTCAATGTCCCCATCTATCAAGTGGGCCCATTTAACTAGTTTTCTTGGAGTGGGATCTTGGGACTTCCGTATCAGAATCAGCAGCGTACGTGTCCAAACTAGCCAGGTCCTTTCCTGCACCTTGGACCTACTAAATCAGACTCCAGGGTGGAACACAGAGAGCTGTGTGTTTATCTGAGATAATATCTAACATCCCTTCCACCTCTGACATCTGGACTGTGATTTAAGATTTGAGACTTGGGTCAGTATTTTCTGGATGCTGGAAAAGGTCATCCAATGACTGATCTCTCAAGTTCTGCAGAGTAAACATGAACAGTCCTCCAAAGCCATAAATTACGGTAAAAAGCTTGCTTTCTGGACAATGGCTTTAGCATTAATTTAGTTTGCATTTCTTAGCTATAATGCCTCATTAAGACATCTGTTAAATGTCTATAATATTAATTTAATAGAGGGGGTTCTAATAGAACCGTATTGAATTGTCCGTTTAATTAACCTCATGGGTCTTTAATGGATGCCTTAAATAGACATCATTAACGAGAGTGCTAGACAAATTGAAATTAGAGTCAATAACATTCTTGGTAATTTTTCTTGAGCTGTGAAGGACGAGCAGTGCTAAGCAGACAGGCACAGACATGAGCTGCACACAGAGAAGTGTCAGAGCTGCCCAAAGGAGAGGCCTCAAGTGGGGTTCACCATTCCATGTCCCTCACTTTGCCCCAAGAAGACAATACTCCTTGGCTGTAAAAGGCACATCTCAGGAGCAAAGACCTGCCCCTGCATACACCCTATAGAAAAGGTTTTCTCTCCTGGTCCGTCATATTGAGCTGGATGAGGAAGGGGTGAAAAGAGAGGAAGATAGAGGAGGACACAGGAACTCACCCATATATTGATGGCATCACGGATCAAGGTATGATACGGGTCAGGTGAGACAGAACAGATGAGGACCAGGTAGGACTGGGAGGGGTAGGTGGGCAGAGTGGGGTGAGGCAGGATAAAATGAAACATAATTACATTGCTTTTGCCTCCACCCCTCAATGCAGGATTCTCATTTGATGTATTTTTCCAAAGTTGATAGTTTCCATTTCAGCCTCTGTCCCTTTGACACGGTTAACCATTCCTCCCACCTGAAATACTGTATATCCCCACACTCCCGAATCTTGCCACTTCCCTGCCACTCCTAGTGCCCCCCAGTGGATCGTCCTCTTCCAAACGCTACGTGTGGGGATACCCCTGAGCTCCAGCTTTGGGCTTCTGTTCCACAGGAGCGGATTCCACAACTTACGATCTCAAAATCATACTGAGGACCAGAACCGAATATGTATCTATTGTCTTCCTCTGCCAAATGGAATATAAGATACTTAAGGACAATGATTTTGCTTTGATGATTGATGTATCCTCAGTTATTTAGAAGCATATCTCATCTGTGATAGGTGCTTAGAGAACATGCATCAAGAGAATGCGTAAGCTTCCCCCGGGTATCCAATAGCTACCCTGGTATCTCTACCTGGGTATTTAATAGCTATCCTGACCTGATCAGCTGCACACAGAGTTCTTGACTTTCCTCTGCAAATCCATCCCCGCCCAGTCCATGGCTCTGTAACGGGAATCCCAGAAATCATCATTGTTACCTTTCTTGCAGTGGTACCCCCCATCCAATCTGTCATGAAGCCCAGCTTCCCTACTCCACCCCTCACCCACCCCCACCATCACCCCAGTCCCAGCCACATCCCTTCATCCATCTCCCTGCTCCCAGCTCAGCCACACCACAACTGAGGGGACCTCGGTGAAGCTTGATTCAGACTGTGCCATCCTGTGTTCAAAATCCACATGCAACTTCCTGCTCACTTGGGTTCTATCCCGCCCCTGACCCTCACGGCCCACCTGCTCCTCCACCCAGTCTCAGCCCACCTCCCCAGGGTCCTGCCCCAAGCCTTCTGCTCCACTGTGTGGCTGCACTTGCCTTTTCTTTCTGAGATTTTCTTCTCCTGGACTGTCAATCTCATGGCAGCCTCCTCTGCACCCAACCCTCAGCTGGAAGTCTCCCTCCCAAGGCGGCCACCTTTCCCCCTCCGGTCTCTATCATGTTACCCATCTTATATCCACCGCATCCCTTTTCTTGCTTAACAAAATCTTATCTGCTCACTTACTGTCATTTTCTTTCACTAAAACATAATCTCCAGGAACACCGAGACGTTGTATGATACAAAACAGTGCTTTATACATAATGAGTGTTCAGTAAAGTTTTGTTGCCTACCCTCCCCTCAAAAAATAAGCCAGAGGTGTGGCGCTAACGATAATAAGGGCTGGTGCACACAGGAACTGTGACAACAGCCAATGTGGCCTCCAGTATGGCCCGGACAGAGTCCCTGTGGTTTGTCCACACAGAGCAGCACGCTGTCCTGAGGTCAGCAAGCTACCCCGCCCTTTCGCACTGGCAGGCACCCCAGCCAGAAAGAATCCCCGGGTGCCAAGGCAGGCCTGCGTCATTGGACCCTGGCCCTCCTGCTGCACAGACGCATCTGTCTGCACTCCATAAGCAGTGGTGGGTCATGCGGCCAGCGCTTCTCTACCCTTTTCAATTTCATCTATGAAAGCCCAGGATGCAGGTGGGGATGGTTGTGCTCCTGGCATCGAGGGTCAGGAAACTCAAGTTCAAGGCTCAGCTTACTCTTATCCCTCATTTCCAAGGTCAGAGGATGTGAAGAAAGGGGTGTACTGTTTATTATAGACACCTCTCATCTACACCAATTAAACTGTACCCTCTGTCAAAAGAGGGTGGGAGAGAGGAAGGAGGTTGCAAATAGCCCTGCCAACCGCCCCGCCCTACATCCCGTGTAAGTTTGCCTTGCAGAGCATGTGAGCTAGAAAGCATCGGTAGGTGACCTTGTCTCCCAAAAGTGTGTGATTCTAACGCCCTTCCTAATCACACGGGTCCTGAGCTGTGGTGTGCTGGAGGGGCTCCCACCACCTCCTGTGAGCCCCAGTCTCTTCCCAGTTCCACACCCGCACGGGCAGCCTGAACCCACCGTGGCAGGAGTGGTGCACACCACGCCAATTTATAGGAGGTGACCCAACATTTGCCAGTACCCAACTGCCCAAACACACACCAGCAAGATTGCCAGGGCTCAGTTTATTGAAAGGAACAGTCAGTGCTTAAAATTTTCCTTTTTCTTGACCAATTTTGCATTCTTGAATCTGGTAATCAGAATGGCTGACCTGAAAACACCTTGCAGTATAAGAACCGTTGTTGAACTCCTACCATCTTGTATGG